GTAGACATGCGCAGACGTCGTATGTGTCATTTCAATTGGCTATTGAGTGCGTGACACTCGTTATACTAGTGCATCACGTTCTTAAAATATTTTGAACGCAAGGATATTTTGTGCTACTTAATAACAAAGGAAATATTCTGCATTAGTCATCAGCCATCAGCTGATAAGATCGCACAGCCGGCTAGTCGTAAATGCATAAGCCAGCAATCAAGTCCATGCTTGGTTTAAATGGTTGCTAGCAGCCAACACAAGTTTGTTTTCCTGTTGCTCCGAAACACTTAGCCTCAAAATACAGCATTTAAAATGACCTGTAGAATATGAGCGAGCTTTATGTGTGAATGCGAGCATGCCTAGCTTTATAAGGTTGCGCAGAGTAAGATGGGTTTCCGTATTTATTAGATAAATGAAAAAGTAAATACATACATATATACGACGTAGCACTAGCCTTGAAAGGTGACAACCGGAAGACGATTTTTTTTTTGGAGGGGGACCACAAACTTTAGGGTGTCACGATGTTGCGTGCCCCCCTTAACGAAATCCTGGATCCGTCTCTGCTTGCACCAGTGGACGGACCCGCCGCCTCGAAACACTAATTAACTTCGACATCTATCGCATACTGCTATCACCGCTGGTGGCCTTTGTGACGATCAGATGTCGCTACAAATGCAATACGCGCCTGACTTGGAGCCAATGGAGAGGCTGAGGGTCCTTTGCCCGACAGATCGAAATGATCGCGTGAAAAGTTCAGTTTTAGATTTTCCAGCGGTCAAATATTTATGTCTGTGCGTACTGCACATGATGATGTTGCGTGATCTCAGTAATGATCGTTCCAGGTTTACTTTGGCATGTGTCCTGGCGGTGTTTTATGCATGGCTTGAATGGAATGTTCCGCATTTAAGATATTGAGATAAGCATCAAATATGACGGGAAAAGCTTACATGTAACTATTGGTAAGCGTTCAAGCTTCGAAACCCACCCTATGTAGCAAAATTTCAAAGATGGTAAAAATGCGCCCCTTAAGTCATTGTTTGATGGCGTCATGGAATGGTTTTGTGACGACAGCAATACCTGACAGCATCTGGCAGCCAGACGCTTGAAAGGCACGAGCATACATTTCTAAGTAAATGATCACATATCATGAGCATATGAAAGCACTTTAAGGTGATAGTAATTGCATCACAGTCTTTGACAACCTGACACCAGGGCTGAACATTGTGTGCTCAAGCGTATTCAAGCAAATTGCATACAGAAATCATGGCTGAATTTTTCTTAACTAAGCTATTTTAACAACACGCAAACACAACTGACTAAAATGTTTGCAGTGGAAGTTCAGGTGTCAACGCCACACAATGACCCGTCGCATGTGTTACCTACCTCCGCGGATCGTCAACAACTGTGAGGGCCTGAGGTATTGTAGGATGAGGTCCTGCGTCTTCGTCGGCAGCTGTTCAAAGTTGGTACATGACGTTGCCTGGAAACGTTTCATGCAGTCAACTTGAGAAGCCCACACCAAATCAGTGATTCGAATCATCAGCACGGTGCAGTTGATGCAACACCTATACGACGATGGCAGTTTCCTTACATCAGCATTGCGATTGATACATTTTCAGCAGGATCGATGCCGACTGTGGCCCACGACACCCACAACGCATGATGTTGGTTTTCACTCTGACTTTGAGCAGCGCAGTGCATTTTTGAGTCGAATAGGATTCGACTCAACCAGGTATGGATCAAAAACGGAATTGATTCCGATGGTTGGATTCCGATGTAACGTATAGGGAATAACCAGCTCTTGAAAAATGGCCTTCATAACATGGTAAACAGTGCACGTGTTTCAACAAAAACACGGCTATCTATACTTGCGGCTCATTTGGTGCGAATTTAAAGGGAGTGTTCCACATTTGCATGGGGGTTTGAGCTGAAATAGCCAAATTGCAGATCACTTGGTGAAGTTCATAACCCTGACCTCGTTAAGACCTAAAACCCTCTAGTTTCAGAGTTCCACGCCCGCGAAGATGTGCAGACTATTTCAAGGTCATTCAGGCATGCATGACGCCGTGGGAACGTCGTTCAAATCCTGGCACCCCACAGGCGGCGTTCAAGGCCAGGAAGAATATTATCACCCAGCCGTTCACATCTGGCGTTCGTGAGTGCGAATTCCAAATGACTCAGAAATCAAGGGGCTCGTCAACAATGCGAGTACGCAGTGGTAAGCTTTAGCGATGAAACGCGTTTTGTGCTGCATAATATAAGAAGTCCGACACAACTTTTTCACTTGGTAGTTAGCACAGAATATACGACTTGTAATCGAGTAACTTAAGAATAACGATACAATCGAGTGTGTAGATACAAGTAAACGAATAATGTCACAACTGAGTGAGTGAATACAAGCAAGCATTTTGAATCCGCGAATAAACAAACAAGAGCATCAGGACAGAGGGCCAAGATATGAACATGTGACAATATTTGGCTCAGCAAACACTTCCAGCCCGTGCTGCTATCCCTCGACGAGGAAGTACTACAAATAAGTGAAATTTTCGCACGGCTAGTTTGACAATATCTCAACGTCATGCAAACGCCACATGGCACAATCGAACAATGACACACCATCGAACATATTTACTGAAAATGCAACTCGTGTTGTCTACAGCAACCTTTTTCTCTCAAAAGTACACCAATAGTTATAAGTGAGTATACCTCATCATATGTGACGCTTGCTTTAACATCTTCAACTGCGGAACATTCTCTTTCAGCTCCCTAACCATTCAGACATCTCTGTGCCAACATTATCATGCAAACTGAACAACCAATTTGTTGACTTGACTTAGACCTGAAACTGCGGTTCGTTGACTCAAATCCAGTCCGAGTTTCAGTGAAATTACAAAGGTAAAACGAATTCCCTCAACTCAACGGAAAGATGGCCGACGCGGCAATCGATTCCGAGTCCACCTATCATGAAGTCCAGGTGCGCGTAATGTCATGCAAATTCATTGTAATGGTAGCAAAATGTCGGCTACAAAGCGATTTCGCCGCGGCCTACTTGGATACTTTTGTCTTCTTCCTGGCTCCTCACGTGCTAGAAGTCAGTCTCTGCATAATTTGTGTCACGTTCTTGGGACGTCCCATTTCTCCCATGCAATGATGCAAACCTGTCACGGTATTCAAATTGGTTTTCAACATCACTGGCAGGTGATTTGACGCTTTCACCTTTTGTGTCATGATTTTAGGTCAGTGCAACAGCAACTGAGAAGCAGCCAAAGTCATCATTTTCTTGAGGAGAGAGGCACGTGTCAAATGTGCCCCTAACTCCTGAGAAGTTTGTCCTGCACGCTCGCCCAGTAGCTTTCATTAATATCTTGGCTCAAAGAAGCCATACCCATGTGACCCCGCCCTCGCGTTCCGTGAGCAAAGTTGGCCGACATTCGCAAGTCGTTTTTTTACGAAGATTTATGAAAGTAGGCCCAGATCATGTCATTGAACTGAAAAACCATCACACAAATGACTACGAGCACACTTATGCCGATGAGCATTTCTGAACTTGCACGACATTATACTGGACTTCCACAGCAGAGAGCTATTCTCTCAGCGTACCAAAACACGTCCTCATTAAACTTCCTGCTTGCGTGCAAAGCAGTTGGTTCTGTCAGCTAACAACTGATGTTTTAAAGAATCTAGGTTTATCTTCGGCGACGTCGCGCAGATCTATCGGCCAATATTCACTGATCTCTTGTGACCTCACTCCGACCCGTGACCTCGTGCCTACCTGGTGCCGTCTGCTTTCGGCCCGCTCCAGCAGAGCTCTGCTCTCCTCTAGCTGGACGCTAAGAGCGTCCCTGGCTCGCTCTGAGGCGTCCAACTGCGCCTGGAGCTCGGTCTTCAGCCGGACCTCCTCCTCCAGGCGCGCCGTTGTTTCGCCGATCTCGGCCTGGTAGCGCCGGACCGCCTCCTGTTTTCCGGCAATCGACGCATTGGCGGTGTTGAGGGCGATCTCCAGCTCGTTGATGTCCTGCTCTAATCTCTTGAAGCGTCCTATCTTTTAATCTCTAATCTCTCCCAATCTTCAGCACGGGTCAGTAATTGGCAAGAATGACTGCTCGGTTCCACGTGCTAAATTGTACAGCGTACGATACACACCGGGCATGGTGCAGGCAGGCGAAGTACCCTTAAACTAAAATACGAAGATTGAGAGGGCAAGCAAAGAAGCCCAATGCAAATCAGCTAGATAAAATTATTTAATCGCGGCTCAGCCTGTGCCATCCGTTTGACATTGGCTTAATTGCTGCGGTAATGCGGTTTCCTGCTGTTCTATCTAAAGATGGTTGTCGTCAATAGGGCCAAAGTTGAGCTTGCGAAAGTCATAGTTAACAGCAGAGAACGGCAGCATAACGGCAGACCAGCATATTTCCTCCAACGGCATTTCGTGATCGCTGATCATAGCTGCCCGACACACAGCTATAGCAGTTTACAGTTATCAAAATCAGGACAGGCGTTCGCATGAAGCCTTCACCAGATCCTGAGGCTTTTGAACACCAGACAACATCAATCTATGGGTCGGCGAGCCTACCTCGTTCTTGCTGGACAGGAACTTGTTCTCGCGGCGGATGGAATCGAGCTGCCGCTGAGACTCCTCATATGCAGCCTTCACTCGGAGCAACTCGTTACTGTAGATGGCACACGCCTTCCTCGAGGCGTCCAGCTCGGCTGACAGGCGCTCCAGCCCCATCTCGCTCTCATTACGCGTCTGCAATGCAGTAGATAAATATAAGGTGCTGCGTTTGCAGAGGAGTAGCCTGAAGTTATCATCCGATTTGTGTTGACAATATGTTTTACGGTTTTCCTACTTGCATATACCGCCCACTTCTCCACAAATGTCAGCAAGTCCTTTGACTCATGCGCGAAAATAAACATGGCTTGTTGAAGATTTGGTCGGAACGCCCTCGAAAAGCTTCTTTCAAAGCATACCACCGTGAATGTTAACGATGCAATGGACGGCCACATTACCTTATTCCCAGCGTGAAATAACAACAACCATGAGGGTAAAATTTTGGTGATGCTCGACGATGTTGATCACGAAGAGTTAGTGTTGAATGTCTTAGGGAGATTCAGTCTGTGCGGAAGGAACGTACCACCCATGGAACCCCGCATTTCACAACGTTCCGGAAAAACTCGTCGCCTGTTTTTGCCCTACCTGTGGTTAGCCTGCTACGTAATCCACCAGTTGAAAGCTTATTTCTGAGAACTGCTAATCCTCGCGATGGTACAAAGTTCTAAGCAGACAGTCATCACAAGACGTTCATCATAAGGGCAAAATGGTGCGTTGGAAATGAGTTACCATGGCGAAGCGGAACACAGTTTTCACTGGCGTGAAGTGGGCCATTCATGCCCAGGTTCCCAGGACGGATACATGAAACAATAATGACGCACCCATATCTGCCTTCTCAGCGGCTCAGGTCAATACCAGCCAAGATTTCCCCACCATACTCAGCATCGGGGATAATCGTACTTTAAATACAAGGCGGTTTTGGAAACTTAACCTGACACGTCGTTGGTATTGAATGGCCCTTGTGCCACCATTAGCATAACAGTTATTGCAGGTAATGACGTTGGAAGGTGCGTTTCATTTATTTTTTATTGTAATTTTTAAGACTCAACCTAAAACAATCGTTGCCTGGCATGCCAACGAAGGCGTTGTCAGCAATGGGGACGCTTAGCGTAAAGCCTCTTCATGCTTTGGGAATGCACTTTACAAGCAAATGCCGAGCCCACAGAACTAATCATATGAGGCGAAACGCAGATTTATTGGTTCTCAGCCAGCAGAGCCCTTAAACTGAGTTCAAAGGTCTGATTCGGCTTCAGCTTACAGCTGTAAAAGTACGGCATATGATGAGCAGTATAGCAAACAGTAGTAGCCCGTGGCGACTGCTCAGTTGGTTTGAGCGCCGGTGACTCACTGACCCATGGTGGGGTGGGGTCGTGTCGCTTTATACGCTCGCTATTTGTCACTGACTTGGATTGCCTTTGGCGTGTGAAAGCAGCCGCACAAGAGGCCTCAGGACGGAACGTACGCAGTGTTGTGGCACGTTGAGCTTTGTCACCAAATTCTGTCATTGACCACAAATTTCTGCATCGGATGGCGAGATCATGGCTACACGCGTTGCTGAGCATAGGTTCTGATCCCAGAATTACGTTCATTGAAAAGGGTTCGGACATAAAGAAATGAAAAATTGCATTTCATTCACTGACAACGGCAGCACTGATGGTGCGACCACGCGCTGTGTCAACAGGGTAAGCTTACCCAGTTGGTGCTCTCCGAGTTTGGCCGAGTTGTGATCTCGGATGTATGATCACTGGTCGTCACTTCATCATCTGAGTTGGACGCTCCATAGTGCGGCAAATGGCAACGGCGCTGCTGAAACTTAGATTCTTCTCAGACAAACAGTCTTCTTTGCATTTGATCATCTGCTATTCCGAAGATGAAGCTGTTCCCAGCAGCCTGTCCCCGAGGGTATCTCCAAAACAAGCAGTCGTTGGGCATTTTGGGCGGAGAACAGCAGCGTAGTCAGCGACTTGTTGGCCAGCGCGACGGACACACGAGCCGAACTTGCGCCGGCTGATGGTGACTGAAAGGTCAGAATCCTCCTGACCTTGCATAACCAGAAGCAACTCTGCAAGAGGTACGTCCATCGGCTTCCGAGGTGCAATCAAACTGCGAAGAAAAGCGTATGCCTTCTGCCGCATGCCGCCAGAAATGTGACTTTTTTCTGCTTCTCGTCAGTGATGCCGCTGTATCGAAGAACAGCTCTAGGCGCTCCTCCCACTCTGCCCACGAGCTCGAGTCAGGGTCGAATGGCTCGATGTGTTGATGCACGGGTGTCACATCTGATGAAGCATCCATGTTAAGAATTCTGAACGGCAGAAAATCGTGTTCATTGCGGACAAAATACAGAGCACGGTACTCACGTGCAACAAAACATACTAGAAGCTTGAAGGTGAGGCAGATGTGGGATACAGGTAGTTCGATCCAAGTCTATTTGCCAGCCATCATCGACGGCAAGCACCATAGTCGGTGGGGTTGGGGCATACTTGAGGAACATTTCCTCGGAGGCAAGCACGGCGGCTGGAGCGGAATGCCTGCTATGGTAGATATACATCTACTGGTGTTTCCTACTGGTGCGTAATCGAACCTATTCGACTCATCTGTACCTTCCGGCAAATAAGACCACTCAGCTCCCAAAGATTATCCATCCGTTTCAACATTGTTTCCCCCGAGCAGGTGAAATTTCACGAGCTGGTAGGCATTCTAGGTCACTGGGAAGGCACCTGCCTCCAAAGTTTAGATGCATCAATACTGCCTTGGCACAGCATCGTCAAAAATTGCAAATTCTTAAACTGACCCATGGTGCGTGGCAGTTTTCGTGCGCCTGAATTTCATCGGCTGCTCTTCAAGAGACAGGTGTTTGCTGCAGAATTTTAAGCAGCAACAAATTCGAAAGCTTCAGATAGTGTTCTGCCAAAACCATTTGACAAAAGCCCTATCATATGACTGCTTTATGTCAAGCTTATGGACAAGCATCACTGATTATTAGTGTGTGAAGCCGATGAGCTGTCTGCCACAGTTGCTCTTCGCGAAATCATCCCTTACACCACACGACAGCAGCAAATGTACTTCCGGCAAACTGTCTGTCGTAGGCATGAATTGGTCCAACGGACATGTATTTCCCATCTTCCAACGTAGTTAACTTCATCTGCTTTTGTATGTAGGACGACCGTACACACTATTGTTAAACAGGTTCCGTGCCGATATCTGCCGTAGGCGTTTAGCGTAAGCCGGTATTTTATGCACAAAGTTGGCGTTTCACATATTGTCGGCTTGTTATGCCACTTCTGTGAAATATCATCCTTGCGCGATCTGACTGAAATCTCAGGCGCTGTTTGAAATGCCCACCAGGCTGCGGGCACTTTCTTTGCCCCATTTGCCTGACGAATATACAATACCTTTCCATATTTCATGACACATCCTAAATAAAGGCTGACTCACCCGTGCGCAGAATGCGTTGAATTGTTATTTCGTGTTTGATGTTGAATGAGATGATCAATGCTGTAAAGTTCATGGTTTATTTAACGAGTTTAGTTGGCTGTTTTTTT